AGTATATTTTATCACTTAAGGGCATATATTTTCAAAGCAGCAGCACAAATTAAGATGAATTTTCTTAACATTAAAATCAGAATGGAAAATCAGTGTAGATGGCAAACACACACAAAACCCATATGGACAGCCTTATCACACACACACACACGCACACACCGGTGTGCGAAATAGCTTCCAAGTTTTTCTCGCCAGTCGGGCTAGCTATGCCTGAAAGTTACTAGCCCACAACATAATTCTCCAGCCCGAAATCTGAATGTAGACACAGGTTTCATCATTAAGCTGCTAATATGATGAACTTTTTCATCAGGCCATAATCTTGACTGATTTAAAAGTGTATTATAACTTAACAAGTCGGAGAGAGTTATATTTACCAAATGACCCCATGAATATTTACTAGGCAGTCAGGCCTGCTATTTTGCACACACACACACACGCACGCACACACACACAATGACGCACACACACACACACACACACACACACACATACACCGCTTTATGGTAAGGCAGCGGCCACCTCTGGTAAAAGACACCAGCATTCCCATCAGTCCCATCTTTCGACTAACGCTTAGTCCCTGAATATATATAATTTGATAGTAACAAATAAACCCATTAAAATTGAAAAGGAGCCCCTGGAAGGCCAGAGGAAATCTAGACTTGCTTCCTTTAGGGCATTAGCATTGCAGGGAGGGCTGGGCAGTAGTAAAAATAATGTGGTTCAGGGACTGTGAGACAGACTAGGACGGCCAGGCAGTAGGAAAAATAATGTGGTTCAGGGACTGTGAGACAGACTAGGACGGCCAGGCAGTAGGAAAAATAATGTGGTTCAGGGACTGTGAGACAGACTTTCCCATCTCTAACTTTCTCTCACTCATGAGTGTTATTGGGTTTGACAACACGCCTTCAGCTCAAAGTAAAGAACGGCTCTGAATGAATTCAGGTCATTTCTCCCAATGAAATTGGCTTCAGATACACAGGATGATCCAAGATATATGCTACTTTCAATTAACCGTTAAATTTAATCCTCGACAACTATTCTCGAAAGTGCAAAAAAATAATAAAAGGCATCTAAACTAAACCATAAAATAGTGAGCAAGTTTTATGTCATTTTCCGTAATATTCCAGCAATATCTCAGTCGGGCACCAGAAATGGTCTCCGTACAGTGTATGTGCATGTGGGGTATTGAACCTGGTGCTATGGCATCTATCCTTAACTAAAATAAAATAAGGATAATTAATATTTTTTAGATGTTTGAGATTTTTTGTAGTGAAGACAGAGCTTATATAATACCGTCAAAATATTCATAATTCTCAACTTATTTCCTTCAGTATATTTTAAACCATTTAATCTTTACAACCAACCTTGACAGTGGTAAACAAAGACTTCATGATCTGTCTGCTCAAGCTGACTGAAAGTGAAACTTAATACCAGGAGAAACAGTAATCTCTGGTCAAAATCTCACATTGTTATGTAAAATTTGCAAAACTTCAGACACTTTCATTAACCAACCCTCAGATAACCAATAAGATTGCTACACACACTAATGGTTTAAGCCTAGTCTTTCATACAGACCCTTAAACATATATATCCAATACAGACTATGGCAGTCTATAAATAGCATAATATCACGGGGTGGTTGGGTAGCTTAATGGTTAAGTGCTTGCTCATCATGACAATGACCCAAGTTTGATTCCCCACATGGGTATAATGTGTGAAGCCAATTTCTGGTGTCCCATGCTGTGATATTGCTGGAATATTGTTAAACAAGGCATAAAACTATACTTAATCACTATAATATCTGGCAAGTCTGGGGGCGGTGGGGTAGCCTAGTGGTTAAAGCGTTGGCTCGTCATGCCGAAGACCCGGGTTCGATTCCCCACATGGGTACAATTTGTGAAGCCCATTTCTGGTGTCCCCCGCCGTGATATTGCTGGAATATTGCTAAAACGGCGTAAAACCATACTCAGTCAGTCAGTCAGTCTGGCAAGTCTAGTTCATTGTATTTTCTGAAAATGGAGTAACAGATATCTGGGCTCCTTAATTATATTTTATCAAAAGCAGTTGTTTTTTCTCCAGAATATTTTCATAGATTAGTTTACTGACAACTAGATCAGTTATTGTGAAACAAACAGACTGACTCTAAGAGAAATATATGAAGAGATTGAAAACAAATATTACTTTGTGGCTAACAGATGGCACTTTGTAGTACACTGAGATCTGCTTACACTCCAGCCTGACATTCCAACAACATTGTGGCACTAATCTCTTCAATGCATGCCTGGTATCAACAACTTGTAACACAACTTGACAATACACAGAACTGGATGTCTATTACATGTCTGGAAACCACTTTGACTTCATGGGTACTTTAATATTCTAGTAATTCCAATATGGAGGTTTTCCGTGGGATTGACACAGCCTCTGTCCTGTTAGCCCGAGACAAGTGAAAATTCAGGAGGTTTAGTTGTTTTCTCCCAAAATCAAATTTTAAACCATGCACATCAACCGTTAGTCTGATGTGTGGATTTGCTAGTTTGGTCCAGTAATGTCTAAATCCAGTGTTCGAAATACATGCCTGCCCAACCGCCCGGGACGGGTTATTTTCAACACGGACTGCCAGATTGTCAAATTCACTTGTCCAACGGTTGGGTTAAAATTTAGACATGTATATGAAGATATTCATCATATTTCAGGATAATAAATCATTATTAATTCACTCATAAAAATAAATGATGAATTCCAATTGGATGATAAACTATGCTGCTTGTCAAACCTGAATTATTTGTGGGCAGGTAAGTTTTGGTCAGGGCTGGCATGTTTTACATCTAACCAGCCCTGTGGTCTGGCTGAAATTTTTGGGAGTTTCATACCCTGCAAATCCTGTAATATCAGATGTAAATTCTCCCAAAACAAAGCTCTAAGGAGATCAATATCTTATTGGTAGATCATATAACCTCAAAAATATTATCACAGTCTATTCTGAATCTATAACTCTCTATCACCAAACATTAAAACTAGATCTGTCAGCAAAATGTAGAGACAGGTTATGTAAAGGTGAAAGACCACATAAAACCACAAAACACACCAACGAAAACATAACAGCATCAAATTATTGTTCTTACCATGTGAGGGGCGGTGGGGTAATCTAGTGGTTAAAGCGTTCGCTCATTACACAGAAGGCCCGGGTTCGATTCCCCACATGGGTACAACTTGTGAAGCCCATTTCTGGTGTCCCCCGTCATGATATTGCTGGAATATTGCTTAAAAACGGTGTAAAACTATACTCAGTCAGTCAGTCAGTCAGTCAGTCTTACCATATAAACTTCATATCTCATAAAAGGTCATACAAAAATAATTCAGCATACATAGATATGAGCTTGCTTTTCATGCTTCATGCATACAATTGTTAATATCTGCATTTTCTCTGAATATCTCTGAATATTATTAAACCACATTTCTAACAAGACTTCCACAAGAGGAACCCTTCATTCCACTATCAGTGTTAGGACCTAGGATCAGCCTCGGTGCCACATACTGGACACCATATCTGGGGGGTAATCTGAGATGATATTTAATTTATGATAAGAAGAAAAACTATCTCCTGATGTGATCATAATCGATGTATTGTCCCAAACTGTACTCAGCCATGTTATATATAATACATGACTGTATTGCAATGAATTTTCCATGAATACATTCTGAAACTTGATTTCCATTTTTCTTTGAACCTTTTTTAAAATGAAGGATTTGCTCCTAAAAAAATTGTGATTTCACTGAAAACTTGATATATATAGTTATTGCTAGGCGTCTAACATATTTATAATATATGATGAATCCCCTAACACTTAAAATAATTATAAGGCGAAGAAGAAATGAATTAAAAAGAAAGGAATGGAATATGACGAGGTCTTGATAATTATGATTTCGGATCAGATGAGGGTCATGCTTTCATATTGCAACTTATTTTCTGCAACATATTGTGAAATTTTAATTGAACGATGTAACCTCCTATCTTCAAACATATGTTACTGTTTGTATTTAACAACTTGTCAAGGCTGGGTCTTGTAAACTTGTGATTGCTCAAGTGAAATCGGATAAAAATTGTCCACACAATAATACTAAAACCAATTGGAAATTGAAGGCCTGGTTCAGCTTAGTACACATAAATGGTTATTGCACAAACTGTGGTTTCACATTTCATTATTTTCATCCAGGTTTTCCTGTACAGAAGTGAATTTCTACATGTGAGAGGCTCATCACAAAGATCACTCCTCGCCCATGTTTGGTTTACTTTAGCCAGGCGAATCACTTCTTTGGTGTCGCTCGACAAATAAACGTGTTTACAATTACATATGTTTCCATTTGCTGTGAGAAAGTCGACTTGATCGCACCAACATGTACAAATTTCAGAATATATATATACTTCTAATGAAACAGCACAAGGCAAAATACATCTGTTCACGACATATCGTACTGCAGTACTGTCTAACTCTAAGCCCAGATCTTATCGAGACCAGGGTTGTTACGGACATTTAAACTTTGTTCAATAGTTCTTTCTCTCAGAAACAAGTCCTAGCCGAAGAACAGACATGAAAACAGAGAATATGTGGCATAAATGAAACCACTATATACTCTGACATTTAATGTTTTGATCGCATAGTTTGCTCGTAAATCGTGTAACAAAGCGACCACACGTAGTTGACAGAAATTGGCGTGACATTTGATATATGTGTATATCAGTGGGCGTCCAAATCAACACCAGTTTTCACGTGTAGGTAAATACGTCGTTGTGTTTATGTTTCCCTTATCTTACATGTTGAATTGAGGTCCTTACGAGATGCACTGGTGCAACGTTCGGGTCGGCTGCTGGTCGTTAGTGGTGTGGTGATCTGACCCAAACTTGACATCGCCATGTGAGTCTCTGACACCCGGCTTTGTTGCCATTCGAAAATAACCCGCTCCCAGCTTGCAAACAACTCCAATCGCATCCAACTTACCACTGATGATGTAATCTTTTCCCATCCAATCAAGAACGGTTATCGGCTTCTCCACAATCAATCGATATTTTCGTATATCGACACAAAAAAATCAAACTTCTAAGTGTTCATTCAATCCGCCATGTGTAGAGATGCTTTCAAAGAAGAATTCCGACCAATGAAATTGCGAGAATTTGTCCTATGGGCGGTGCTAATGGGGTCAGAGGTCACGTCGCGCACTTGTTCAGCAGCTGTGCTCGCGAAGTGACAGGTAGCGACGAAGCTTTCACTGACAACAACAGCAACTCAACTATTTTGACAAACGACCCATCGAGTCTCTAAACACCGTGATAATTGCATGATTCATTCCCGCGGCTTCTGAAATATTGTCTTAAACATGACGAGAATATTATGACGTGTTTACAAAGCGGTGTGGCTGTTTCACTACAAGCAACAAACAAAGACTGCTTCCTCGTCAACTGTTTTTTATGTTGTTTTGTTAACAGTTCATTATCGAGGTTGTTTATCAGTGTCCTGCGTGTATTTACCGATCAATATATGTACACTCTTCAGGGGAAATGTGTTTATAGATTTACTGAAAAATTTTTTAAAGTCTTGACTGAAAGATAATCGGTAAATGTTGTTAAATAGCTTTTCTCGTTTCGGGATAATGATTATAACGACAAAAGAGATATTAATTTAATTATTATTTATGTGTATGCGTGAGTATATAGGTCACTAAATATAATATTAGCTAAATGTTTTCTTTTCTTTTTCGGGGATAAGTGTTCCTCGCTACTTTGAATTAGTCAGATCAGGTGAATCCCCGATCCGTGGACATGTCTGACCAGAGACTATATTATATGGTCTCTGGTCTGACCAATCCCCGCCGTATGTCTAACAGATGATGCAGTTGAACTTTCAGCCAATGTTGAGCTTTGTGTGTACGGTGGTTACCAAGATATACTGCCCTCAATGACACCTGCATGTATTTGTAAGTGCCGATGTGCACGCGAATATATTTCCCATAATTATTCAGGGGAACGCCAAAAATGTTGAGTTTTAGCTATTTCATGCTCATCAGAGCAATGCAGTGTTAGGGCCCAGGTGGCGTAGACTTCTGAGGTGACGCAATTCGCCGTCCAGAGTTACGTCCCCTGGGTACGAAAGCCACCTTTGATCGTGCGCATGAATCCCGGTTCAAACCGATTGCGTTTCTGGCTTGACGGCACCATGCCCGTGTTCGCGGGTTTCAGCAGAGTAGGGAACGTCAGAGACTTGTCACAGTGGTCCATTAGGCTGACACGCCATGTTAAAACTGGTACACTGTCCAAGCTGCGTTAACACAGCTCATTCAGTAATTACAGTACACGTTGACTATAAAATGTCCAGTTTTCCAGTTTAGGCTTGTTTTCTCGCTTCATGTATTTTTTTGCCATATATGGGCACCAGCATGAATCATTATATTAGATCTTATGATTGATATGCACAATTATTAATATAATTGCTCAAATATTTAAAAAAGATTAACAAAACCGAGACAAAGAGGGTTAGGTCGCTGATCTTGTGTGCAGACGATTAGGCGCCTTAGTCTGAGAGCGTGTTAGAATCTTCGATGGGACTCCACCCAAACTGTGATAGAATTTGGTTTTGTTTGTTTTGCTTAACGCCATACTCGGCAATATTCCAACCGTCTGTAAATAATCGATTCTGGGCCAGACCATCCAGTGATTGAAATCATGAGCATCGACCGACGCCACTGGAATACAGCAACAAGAATCAACGAGTCAACGAGCCTGACCACCCGATCCCGTTGGTCGCCTTTTACGACAAGCATGGGCTGCAGATGAGAAGGACTAACCCGAATTTTTATGGGTCACTAAAATTTGTAATTTGCAAAGGAATTGTGATCCCGAATGTAGTGAGTGAGTATGGTTTTACGCCGCTTTTAGCAATATTCCAGCAATATCACGGCGAGGAACACCAGAAATGGGCTTCACACATTGTACCCATGTGGGGAATTGAACCCGGGGCTTTATCGTGACGAGCGGACGCTTTAACCACTAGACTACCCCACCGCCCCTGATCCCAAATGTAACACATTACATTTGACCAGACTGGTCAGAGGGGTCGACACTACCAGCCGTGGATCTTTTGGGGGATGCCACGGTGGCTGTGCGGGTCAGATCGCTGATGTAGTGTGCTTGCGATAAGGTTTTTTACTCTGCGAGTGCTGATTCGAATTAAATTCTTGGCTGGTTTATTAGAGTTTGTTTTTTGCCCCCCAAAAATTGTAATTCCATGTAGAGCGTGTTGCAATAAACATAACTTTGCGAACTTTTAAGAGGATTATTTTTTAAAAGATCTGAAACATACACTCAATCAGGGCTCACCTTAAAGGGTTTATATTTCAGAGATATTGAGTTAGAAGATTATTTAGTGTTACGTCAACCTACACGCGTTCCTTATTATTCCCCTAATATTTTGTGATACTTTTAAACTGTCTCATATTTATATGGCAAAGTTTTGAAAATCTTAATTACTTTTAAGGCAGCACAAGATAACATTCAGAAGTTATAGCAATAAAAAAAAAACATCTACCATTATTATCTATCTACCTAAAGCAGGTATCGCGCGTCAAAAATAGATCTAGGGTAGACTGACTTACTGAGTATTGTTTTACGCCGCTTTTAGCAATGTTCCAGCAATATCACGGCGGGGGACACCAGAAATGGGATTCACAAATTGTACCCATGGGAATCGAACCCGGGCCTTCGGCGTGACGAGCAAGCGCTTTAACCACTAGGCTACCCCACCGCCCCCTAGGGTAGACAGCCACAGTGCAAAAATGGTCTTCTCAGAACCGCTGGTCCTGACGTGATGGCGACAGAGGCATGCGCTTGCCCGTGTAGTATAAAATCTTCCACAAGGCTCTACACTATACCAGTTTAATCTGTGATGTGCTAGAAGTTTCCTCATAATTTTTGCCCACAAGAGTTTGAATTTAGTAACTTATACGCCACTACCCTCACAATAATTTCAACAGAAACAATGTAATACAATTACAACATTGTTTCACAACAAATTGCACCACCATATATAATATAACAACAACATACGTGTGTAGTCCGGATACACACACACGCACGCACCTCAGTACGTACCAAACCTACACACACACGCACACACGCACTCATTTATGCATACATGCGGACTTCTCTATAGCTCCACAAGGAGGTCCATGGCAGTACTAATGCAAGGGCCGAACTTTTCTATAGCTCCACAAGGAGGTTCATGACAGTACTAATGCAAGGGCCGGACTACTCTATAGCTCCACAAGGAGGTTCATGACAGTACTAATGTAAGACCCAGACTTCTCTATAGCTCCACAAGGAGGTCCATGGCAGTACTTATGCAAGGCCGGGACTTCTCTATACCTCCACAAGGAGGTTCATGGCAGTACTTATGCAAGGGCCGGACTTCTCTATAGCTCCACAAGGAGGTTCATGACAGTACTAATGCAAGGCCCGGACTTCTCTATAGCTCCACAAGGAGGTTCATGGCAGTACTAATGCAAGACTGATACTTCTCTTTGGGTCCATAAGGAGGTTCATGGCAGTACTTATGCAAGGGCCGGACTTCTCTATAGCTCCACAAGGAGGTTCATGACAGTACTTATGCAAGGCCGGGACTTCTCTATACCTCCACAAGGAGGTTCATGGCAGTACTTATGCAAGGGCCGGACTTCTCTATAGCTCCACAAGGAGGTTCATGACAGTACTAATGCAAGGCCAAGACTTCTCTATAGCTCCACAAGGAGGTTCATGACAGTACTAATGCAAGACTGATACTTCTCTATAGCTCCACAAGGAGGTCCATGGCAGTACTAATGCAAGGCCCGGACTTCTCTATAGCTCCACAAGGAGGTCCATGGCAGTACTTATGCAAGGCCGGGACTTCTCTATACCTCCACAAGGAGGTTCATGGCAGTACTTATGCAAGGGCCGGACTTCTCTATAGCTCCACAAGGAGGTCCATGACAGTACTAATGCAAGGGCCGGACTTCTCTATAGCTCCACAAGGAGGTTCATGACAGTACTAATGTAAGACCCAGACTTCTCTTTAGCTCCACAAGGAGGTCCATGGCAGTACTAATGCAAGGGCCGGACTTCTCTATAGCTCCACAAGGAGGTCCATGGCAGTACTAATGCAAGGGCCGGACTTCTCTATAGCTCCACAAGGAGGTTCATGACAGTACTAATGTAAGACCCAGACTTCTCTTTAGCTCCACAAGGAGGTCCATGGCAGTACTTATGCAAGGGCCGGACTTCTCTATAGCTCCACAAGGAGGTTCACGACGGTACTAATGCAAGACTGATACTTCTCTTTGAGTCCACGAGGAGGTTCATGGCAGTACTAATGCAAGGCCCAGACTTCTCTATAGCTCCACAAGGAGGCTCATGGCAGTACTAATGCAAGGCCCGGACTTTTCTATAGCTCCACAAGGAGGTTCATGGCAGTACTAATGCAAGGCTGATACTTCTCTTTGGGTCCACAAGGAGGTTCATGGCAGTACTAATGCAAGACCCAGACTTCTCTATAGCTCCACAAGGAGGTTCATGGCAGTACTAATGCAAGGCCCGGACTTCTCTATAGCTCCACAAGGAGGTTCATGACAGTACTAATGCAAGGCTGATACTTCTCTATAGTTCCATAAGGAGGTCCATGGCAATACTAATGGAAGGCCCGGACTTTATAGCTCCACAAGTACTTATGCAAGACCCGGACTTCTCTATAGCTCCAAAAGGAGGTTCATGACAGTACTAATGCAAGGCTGATACTTCTCTATAGTTCCATAAGGAGGTCCATGGCAATAATAATGGAAGGCCCGGACTTTATAGCTCCACAAGTACTTATGCAAGACCCGGACTTCTCTATAGCTCCACAAGGAGGTTCATGACAGTACTAATGCAAGGCTGATACTTCTCTTTGGGTCCACAAGGAGGTTCATAGTAGTACTAATGCAAGGCCCGGACTTCTCTATAGCTCCCCAAGTACTTATGCAAGACCCGGACTTCTCTATAGCTCCACAAGGAGGTTCATGACAGTACTAATGC